CAGATGGCCTGAAAGGCCCATACGTTCTCACTGTTACTATGGCAACACAGTGTGAGCCAGTCATGTCGTGCTGTGCTGCATTTTAATTAGCTTCCTCTAAGGCTGCCTCACCATCATTTTCAGGTAAGCTAAATGCCAATTTGTATTATTTCCTGCAGTGCAATGAAAGCAAATGTGTGGACTGCAAATGTCAGAACTGAGTTAGACCCTGGCAAAGTGAGATCTAAACAAATATTACTGTAACATGATCTAAAGAACATGCCCCTTATATTAATAAAACAAAACAAACCCCCTCCCCCCCAAAAAAACCCACTAATGCTATTGTGATACTGTTTGTTTATGTGATGTCTGCTAGCAAATAGTGAACATTTTAAAGTGAATAGAAAGCAAGGAAAGGAGAGACCTTTTGACTTAGGCATTGGCTTTGGGGTTATCAGGGGAACTAAAAAACAATATTCTGTACTCTATTAAATAATAAATGACAAATTTCTCCTTATTCCATTTTCCAGGGAAAACCATGTGATTTTTTTCTATTTTGATGGCCTTAATTACTGTATTAATGACTCCTAATCAAGTTCATTAATTTTCTTACTGTAAATCATGGTGTCATTAAGATTTGCTATACATACTTTTGATGCAATTATTTTGAGAAAACTGGATTTGTCAATGGGAAAAATGCAAGAAATGACCATAATAAATTACAAACTGAGCTTTCAGCCATAACATTCCCTCTCTAGACAGTAATACGAGGTTAGGATAAATTGCAATGTACTATATCTGGAGAACTATGGGAAACACCTTGCATATGAATAACACTCTTCACGATGCATTTGTTTTACTTACTGGGACATGAATGTGCTTTCCTGGGGTTCGTTGGTCCTGTACTCACTTTCATGATACATTTTCTGAATAAGTAATAGTTTGGACTCTTCCACGCTGGCAAACCTGATAGCAGCAAACCCAAGAGTTTCCTAACTAGCAGGGAATCTCTTTACATCATCCCTGGCTTAACAGCAACAGTGAGTGGAACCCAATGACTTGGATATCAAAATGTAATTCTCCAACACAGAGCATTCAGGCTTTGGTGAATATTCAAAATGCTTTTTGTTAGTTGCTGGAGCCCTTCTTGAAATGCAGCTGTAGACAGCTGCAGAACAGTATTTTAGTCTTGCCTACAGGTATCTATAAAATATTTATATACCACACCAGCTATGTGGCTACTTTGGGGGTCTGATTCAAAGCTCAGTTACAGTTCATGGAAAGACTCCTATGGATTTCAATGGCCCTTGAATTGGGTCTCACCATAATATGATGTCTAATCTCTTCTCAGCATCATGAGGTCCCAGTGGATTTCTAACAGTTTCCTGCTGTAGGCTCCCTTTACTATAGGAGCCTCTGACTTTTATTGGGCGAATCCTTTGTGCTGCACTCTAGCCCTATAGACTACAACTCCCATGAGCCCTTGGAAAAAAGGAGGGAAACAGTGACTCTTCCAGGCATGGAGAGAGAGAGTTAGGGGAGGCTCCAGATTGCTCATGGGGAGCCTTTTCCAGGCCAGGAGCTGTTGTGTTGGAGCTAGAGCCTGTTACTGAGAGCCTGCCAGGACTTGGATCTAGTAGGCTGCTTCAGGAGCTGTTGGTGATTGTCCCTGGAGGGGAGAGACTCTGGCTGTGCCTGTGATTAATAAGAGGCTGCATAGAGATAACTGTGAGTTACTGTGGCTGTTTGGGAAAGTGCTGCCTGGGTCAGAGCACAGAAGACAGACTGACTCTGCGTCCAAAGAGAGCCAGGGTGATCTGCCCAGTGAACCACAGTTGCTGGCATTTGGTGGGACCTGTTCCAGTGGCAGTGGGATTTTGCAGCTGGCTGCCTGCCTGGACTGACACACACAGAACCTGCCCAGTGCTGTCTGCACTTCAGCTGCAGACCTTCCAGCGCACTCACGCAAGCAAGTCAATCCAGAGGAGGGCACACTCTGGGGTGGGATACATGGTGACAGTGTAAATGCCAGATAGATAAGTTTCCTTTATTTCTGTGTACTTTGCTAGTTGATTTTATTCACATTTAATCTGTTAAACCCTATCTCTTTAAGTTGTTAAGTAAAGGTGTGTTAATTCTAAGTTACTCAATTAGATGTATATTATTTAGAATTGTTGTCTTGGAGTTAGATCCAGATTATTACTAGAATAAGTTTATTCCTGGAGGCTCCCAAGGCATACCATTAAGTGTGTAGAGGGCCAGCCAGGTAGAGGCACCACCACAGTATATTCCTTTAGGAGCAAGGGACAGCCGCAAGGGGGTGGACAGGGAATCCCCAACTATCCAACATCACCACTGGGGTACTCAGGATCTCCTTCTACATTAAAACCATCAGGCTCCCAGGTACATAGGTGAGTGTGGCCTGCTCCTGAGTAACCCAGGGAGGAAAGAGGGGGTTACACTGGTTTTCTCTCCATTCTGAGTAGGCAGGAAGTGTTGGAGGGCTATTTTTAAGATATCATTTGCCCAGTTAGTATTTTCATCAATAGTGTAGTGTGTTGGCTGGACTGAGACAAAAGCCTGTGACTTTTAGTGAATTGTAAGTCAAAATGTGTGGGTTGTGTCATTATTCCTGCCCCTTTTAGATAGATCAGTTGGCCCACTGCTGAAGAAATATTCCAGGGACCTGATTCAAAGCTCACTGAAGTGATTGAGTAGTTATCGTCATTTGCTATGACCCATTTTGATTGACTTTAGCATGACAAAACCACCGCCTCTTCCACGAATCTGCTGCTGCTATAGAACAGGGATGGGCAATTAGCTGGAGGTAGTTCAGGAGGATTAACTCCTCATGGGCCACCAGTGCTTTACTTACATGAGCATCAGCAATTACAGCCGCCTGCAGCACCCATTGGCTGCGGATTGCTGTTCCCATCTATGGGAAGATGCAGGAAGTGGTGTCCCAATCTGCACCACTTCCTGCAGCTCCTATTGGCCAGGAACAGCTGCAGCCACACAGCTAAATGAACCACATCTTGCCCACGGACCACTTATTTCCCACCCTTCTGCTAGAATGTGGGAGGATCAACCCTTTAAACACTGTAAATATAATTCCTAGATGTACCATAACTCAGATGTACAGCTGCAAAACACAGGAAGGAACTTTTTGCCTCATACCACTTTAATTATATGCTTGAAAAAAAATGGCTTCATCCCCAAAGAAGGCAACCCTGAGTTGCTGCTTTCGAAAATGAATATCATAGGGTGAATTTTCTATAATCCAGTCCTTTTCTTTTCCTTCCACTCTAAAAGAACATCTAAAATGTAAGTGTGAGACAGTGTTCCCTCTAAGGTGCAGAGCAGCACAGCTTCATTAATCAGCCCTGCCCAGTCAACCAGCTCCATGCAAGGAGCTCTGAGCTGCTGACTGGGCGGGGCTGATTAATCACCTGTGAAGCTGTGCTGCCAGGAATCTTAGAGGAAACACTGATGTGAGATGAAGGATTGTCTTGGGATGAAAGCAGTCTGGAACACAGGAAATCTGTGTTTGATTAATGGCTCTAGCTGACTCCCGTGTGACCTTCGGCAGATCCTCTGTCCCTCAGTGTCCATCTATAATATGGAGATAATAGTTCCTTTGTGTATCATGTCTAATTAGAATCTTAAGATCTCCAGGCACAGCCTAACTCACATTGGGTACGTCTAGACTACATGCCTCTGTCGCCAGAGGCATGTAGTTTAGGCCACCAGGCATAGGAAAATGAAGCGGCGATTTAAATAATCGCCGCTTCATTTAAATTTACATGGCTGCCGCGCTGAGCTGACAAACAGCTGGTTAGCTGTTTGTCGGCTCAGCACTGTAGTCTGGACGCATGGGTGTCGACATCAAAGGCATTTGTCGACCACGGGTGTCGACATCAAAGGTATTTGTCGACCACTCAGGTAAACCTCATCCCAGGAGGCATACCTGGGTGGTCGACAAATGCCTTTGATGTCGACACCCGCGTGTCCAGACTACAGAGCTGAGCCGACAAACAGCTGATCAGCTGTTTGTCGACTCAGCGCGGCAGCCATGTAAATTTAAATGAAGTGGCAATTATTTAAATCGCCGCTTCATTTTCCTATGCCTGGTAGCATAATCTACATGCCTCTGTCGCCAGAGGCATGTAGTCTAGATGTACCCTTTGTGTCTGTTAAATGTCTAGCACAATGGAGCTCTCTTCTTAAATGGAGCACTATATGGGCACGTCTATGCTGCAGTGTTATTTAGAAATAACTCAGGTTATTTCAAAATAACAGAGTGCATGTCTAAACAGCAAGCCTGTTAATTTTGAAATAATGGGCTTCTTACTCCTTGTAAAATGAGAGGTACAGAAGTTGGAGTAAGAGAAGTCAAAGGTGGAGTGTTCTTCCTTCGACTTCCTGCAGTGTAGACAGCATCTAAAGCCGAGTTAAGCTACTTCAACTTCAGCTACACAATTAATGTAGCTGAAGTTGCATATTTTAATTCATCGTTAGCCCGCAGTGTAGATCTACCCTATGCTACTGCAATGCAAATAAAAATAAATATCTGCAAAAGATGTGAGTCACACATCAAAAGATCAAATACTGCTTTCATTTATATTGTTGTGAACCAGGCCTAGGTACATTAATTTCAACACTCACTCCTGAATTACAAGTGCAATAGAGAAGATTTAGCCAAAAATGTCTCCATGTTTCTTTGCATATTGTTTGTCATATTCTTAATCGGTATTATGGCTCACTTTTTTATTTAGTTACTTCAGTATAAAGAAGGGGTACAACCATCACGCTCATAATGAGCATTTCTTAACTGGCAACATCATCACCTTAAAACCAGACATAAGCCCTTTCTACAACAAGCCTGACATTCATTGTTTAATTCAAAAAGGCTTCTCTGAGCTAAAAAAAAAAAATCTAGCAGCTGGAGAAGCAGCAGGTGGAATGACAGAAGAGATCGCCAGAAGGTAATTAACGAGATAGGAAACTAAGTCTGATGATACCTGTCATGTTGAGGTAGGTTCTTTAGAAATGCATTCTTCAGTGGAAACACAAAGGTAGACTTTGTCCTTTCCGTTAATGTTTGAATCTGTCTATAAGCCAGACTCTAGAAGCAGACAGTATCTGTGCAGGATATTTCTCTGGAAAGAGGGAGAGGAAGTTTGCTTTGTTTGGTCTGTCTTATTCTTAGAAGATTGGTTTGCAGAAAAACATGGCATCTACTCATTTCCATTATTCACCTCAGATTGTTGCTGTAGAGTATGTTGTCATCAGCACTGACCTCATTAATAATGTTGGCATATTCTGACACTTGCACCTGCCCTCAATTTCTCTTCTATCACCCAGTTTCTTTCTTTTATTCTTTTCTCTCCCCTCTCTGCTCACTTTCAGTTTCACTGGAATGCTCTGTCCTAGGTGAAACGTTCTAAAACAGTGGTTCATTATGCAAATAATGAATCTACAAATATTCAAATAAAATGTTGCTGGTCCTCCAAAAGCCCCAGGTCTCAGAGCCACCACAGTCAGCTTCAGCTCCACTAGCTCCCTTCCCCTTAAGACTTACATGCCTCTGCACCAGACCCCCCAGTACCAGACTTCTGTTTCTAGAGCTCCACTACACCCAACCCCTTCCCCCCCGATGCCCTCATGCAGCTCCGCACCCCAGACACTCCAGTGTCCCTCAGGGTCAGCACCCCACCTCTTAGAGCCCCCCACCCCTTAAGACAACCCACAGTTCAGCAGCCCGAGAGCTAGCATTGCCAGGTGTCCGGTATTGACCTGGACAGTCTGGTATTTTTGCCTCCTGTCCAGTAAAAAAATTCAGAAAATACAGGACACCTAAAATGTCCAGTAGTTTCTGATGTTTTTTCCCTGCCAGGAGCCGAAAATACCAGACACCTAGCAACCCTACCACACTCAGCAACCAGGCCCAGCCCCCACACCCCCCATCTCCCCTGCTTACTTGGTTCTGCAGGGGCTTGTCTTGTGGCTGGAGCAGAAAAACAAAATGGCTGCCAGCAAAAAAAGCCTTTTCTTAAAGAGGCCATGCTGATTTTTTATTTACTTTTTGCTCAGCAACTCTGGTCTCCCCACCTTTTTTTTCTCAACAGAAATTTTTCCCCAGTGTTTTTGGGGTTGTTCGGTACTTTTGGTTAAACCATCTGGCAACCCTACCGAGGGCTGGGGAGAGAGGAAGGTGGCTGTTTGGAGTGACTCACGCGGCAACTTGGGTGAAAAGTAACAGGCCCAGCGTGTGGGAGCAGGTGCACAGGGATTAATGATTCAGTGTTTGTGCAGCTGTGGCCCCTGGTGGCCGCACTGTGTGAGAGAATTGTACCACCAGTCCTGGACCACTCCCACCAGCCCACACAGACTGCAGGCCCAGCAGCTCCCAGGGCTCCCCTGCTGGCCAGGGCAAGGCAGCTGGTGGATGGGGAGGCCCCTGTTACCTCTTCATGGTACGGCCTGGCGGGGCTGGGATCCACGCTTGGTGTGTGCGGGGCCAGAGATGCAGCTACGGCTTCCTCCTTAGTGCTGGTGATTTGTCCTGCTACAGCTCCTCCTGCACATGGGCCTCTGGCCACCGGCATGCCGCACTCCGCCCCACCTGCCGACATGACCCCCTCACCTCACTTCCCGGCATGCCGTGCCTGGCTGTGGTGTGACTGGGGCAAAGCTGTGTAGCACAACCCATGTGACCTCTCCCCGAGCCACTCTGAAGGAAGGGCCTTGCCAGGCTCCGTACAGCCCTCCCACCATGCAGCGAACTTCATCAAGAGGAGACCCAACCTCTGCCCAGTGCTGGTTGGCTGAGAGGCGGGACACACCTCTCCCCACAGCAGTGGCAGGAGGGGAAGTGCTGGACAGTGTTCCCTACCCTGACCTCCAGAGCAGCTGTGGCCTGACAGCCAGCGTTTTGTGGACTGGCACTGGTCCGCAGATGGGTGGTTGGAAACCACTATTCTAAAATATTGTAAGGAGGTTGAAACAGGGTCCAGAGAGACTGTAAGGGAACAGACAAGGACACAGCTGTCTCTCAGAGCAAAGCAAAGACAACAGCTCATATCCTCCTCCAAAGCCATGGAGGGATCCCTGGCTACAGAAATGCTGCCATAGGGTGGTAGGATCTGGGAACTACACAGCACAATCGAATCACAGAAGCTGTATTTTACAGGGATTTGAATGGGATCAAAGGGGGTATTAAGGAAGATGAAGGAGGAGGTTAGAGTGCCCAAGACTGGAGATAATATCTTGGGCAAGATCATTGGCTTACAGAGCAAGGAAAAAAGGATAGTTGGCCTCCTTCCACACCTTCCTTAGGAGCTGCCCTAACTCCCTGTGTCCATGACCTGGAAGATGCATATGTAATTCCCAAGCAGCCAAGTAAGCTCAATTTAGGGCTGCTTGGCTCTGCTAGAGAATTGAAAAGTAGCCTTTGCATACCAGAGGATCAGCTCTATTGTTTTCTATTTCCTTTTCTATTTTACCTCTCCCCACCAGCTCTCTGCGAACAATGAAAAGGACATTTAAAGGAATATGATAGGTTACATATGCACACTGTGTAGCACTGAAGAGGGCAGAATAATGCAAATATGAATACAATGCCATGTTGTTCAGATTGTTTTTATTCATACACAATTAAATAACCACCTAAAATATGTAAAAACCAAAGTGGATGGTCAGCAAATGCTAGCATGTGGTAAGATTTAACCTACCATCCAGCCAAGTCATCCTTAAGTCATGCTGATAATCAATGTTAGACAAATACTTGCAAGCAGCAACTCTAACGCAAAGGACAAAACATTCAATATTGAACATCTGGAGATAAATTTTGTTTGTTTATGGTGCAACTGTAGAGAAGTAATTTATAAATTCCATGTAATAAGGTCAAAATAAAAAGTTATCTCACTCCCCTAACTAAGTGGCAATTGTAACTGGCAGGGAAGATGTGGCAATTTCTTTGAGGCACTTTTGTATCTTGAAGACCTGCTACTCAGATTGCACAGGGGCTATATAACAAAACTGAAATAAAGAAACACTCAACTTATAATATATCAACTAAAAAGCACTTGGACCAAGTATTGCACTAAAAGCATCACATTTCAACCAGATAACTTGATGTTCTAATATGTAAACAAAATTAAAATTAATTCATCAACCTTTATTTTTCTTTTTCATTCTCAGTCTTATGAAAACCCAACAAAATCAAATGTGATAATCTCAGGTAGTTAAATCCTTGAGAAAGCTGAATCGTGCAGGGCACAAAATAGAAAGAGCTCCTCTTCCAATATATTAATGCATTCTTCAACAGATGGGTTTTTTCACTGCAGACACCTGTCTTTCCTCCCATATTATCATAGCCTTGTAAATCCACAGATATCCACGGATGTGCATATTCACAGCTCATTTTTGCAGATATGGATACGGATATAGATTTTGTATTTAGAATCCTGCAAATGTGTGGATATGCATTTTATATCCATAGGTATCTGTTTCCAAGGATGTGGATATCCACGGATCATTTTTGTGTCTACATGTTTATGATTTGGTTTATTGCTGGGTGCACCAGATGGAGAGTTACAGGAACTTTATAAAAACATAGTTGGGTAGAGTTCAAAAAGTCTGTTTTTCAGAAATGTATATGCTACAACAACAGATACAGTTTCAATATCTTCATGAGTACAACCCATCTTGGAAAAGTTTTCTGTCTCCCTATTAGTCTTTCTTTTCTTTTTTCTCATAAGATTTTTGCATGCTTTTCAGAGCATTCTATTTTATAAGTCTGGTACTAAACATTTATGTAGTGACATACCTGGGGATGTGCTTACAGATGTAGTCAATTGAGAATGCATCAACTATCATGGTATATGATGTTTGCAGTAAAGATAGTAACTGTGGTATTTCTTAGAATGTAGAATTGTCACAAATATTTAACACAATAAAAGCATTTTAAGGGCATCCAATATACTTGTAGCATAAACAAAATACAGGACTATGTAGCACTTTAAAGACTAACAAGATGAAGCCCAAGTAAGTTGGGAGCCTCAGGCCTATTCTCAAAAAACACTTAGGCAAGGCCTATACTTGGAATGTTTTGTCAATATATCCTACAGCAAATGCACAGCTCTGATGGTTGGAATCACCTCTCTTCCCATCCCCGACTGACAGCTATGACAGCAAAAGTTTGCAGTGTGGATCTGGCCTTGTGTACAGAATAGCATTTGATTTTCATGAAGCGTTGACTTTCTTAGTATGACATTCAATGGGTCTTGGGGCTCTAAATCTCCAGACATATGTTTACACTTCAGGTCGAAGTGTGATAGCCAGGGCTTGACAAATAATACAATCTAGTCGCCCATGGCAAGTAGATTGTAACCCAGAAGAGCCGGGTTCGGGCGATATGCGCCTGCGCAGAACGATCTGCACATGCACAGATTGCCGGACAGCGCGGCTGGCAAGCAGGGCTCGCCGCGGATTGGCGAGCCCTGGTGATAGCATTATAGACACAACATCACAGCGTGTATAAGCATAGCAAGGATCCTAGGTATGTACCTGCACTGCTAGTTCATGCTGAAGCCCATACTATGGCATCTACATTGCTGTTTTTAGTTTGGGTCTATTGGGCTAGCATAGTTAGCATTTAGGCTAAGTCTACACTGCAGCCTTTTGCCGGCACAGTATGCTAATGAAGCACTCATTAGCATTTGTCGTGTTGTCATTTGCATATTCTCTGCCAATGCTTTTTGCGCAAGAGGTTTTTGCACAAAAACAAGCAGTGTAGACAGGTCCGTTTTGTGCAAAAAAAACCCTCTTTTGTGCAAGATCTTTATGCCTCAAAAAATGTACTTAACATTCGGCAATTTTCTTTATTTGTGGTCTCTGTTTAGCAGTTTGTCTTATGTTTTAGACTGTAAACTCCTTAGGCAGGAGCCATCTTCAATTCTGTGACCACCAGTCCAAACCAATGCCAGCATTTTGGGGTGTTTAGGCACTGCTGGGATACAAATGATAAATAATAACAATAATATATAGTGCTTCTAAGGTGCAGTTTCACCAGACGAGTGTGTTGTCCCTAGATACCCTGTTGGAGGATTTTGTGGGTGAAGTTCATAAGGGTCCAGACCTCTCTCTCCAGCTCCT